CCAAGCCATGCACACGTTATGAGGGGCATCACGTGGTGTGTAGTAACTCCTCACAGATGGTGTTATGAGGGTACCATGGTGTAGTAACCTCACAGATGTGGCATGAGGGCATCACATGGTGTAGTAACTCCCCAACAGATGGTGCTTATGCATCACGTGGTGTAGTAACTCCCTGTCAGATGCAGTTAGTGGCATCACGTGGTAGTAACTTCCTCACAGATGGTGTTATATGTGTGTGTGTGTGTAAAACACTCACTTACAGTCATGATCAACGTCCTCTTCCTCTGTCTCTGTCCGCCCGCCTGTCTTTGTCTTACCGCTCCAGTTTGCTCCATGGTCTGTCTTTGTTCACGATTTTGGTTCTGGTAACCGAGAAAAGTCCTCACAAACCAAACATAACAAATAAGTGTACGCTTAGTAGTCCCTGAGTCGGATAATTTTTTAAGCTTGAAACCCCATATTTCGAACCTACACAGTGGTCAGGGCGTTCAAAGTTGGTGTGGCACTTTGTTATATCTACAGACACGCTTAAACGTTCACCCTTATATACACAGGGTTCAGTAACATATGGTACCAATCTGAACCCTGAGTGTTTATCCCTTTAGGGTTCATCCGTATATTGATGCTGTGTTTTGGGTGGCCGGGATTCAAGTGTCCAGTACTAGTAACCCACTTTGGTATACCGATTGACTTGGGTGCATTAGTATACTGTTGCTGTTGTTTACTAATCCTAGGTGAATGAATGTAGAGTAGAACAGCGCGTGCGCGGGCGGGCAGCGGGCGCGGGCGCGGGGCGGGGCGGGTTGGGCGGGGCGGGCTGCGGAGGCAAGGCGTGTTGTTTACCTGTGTGGGTGAGTCATGTGGCGCTTAATGTTGTAATGGCACACATTGCCAAAGTGTACACCTGTGCTGTCACACCTGTGCATGACCCACACGCCCTGCCGGTGATCTGAGCGGTGAAGAAGGGAATAGAGGGAGAAGGGAGGGAGAGAGCAGTGAGTGAGGGAGAAAGAAAAATGAAGGAGAGAGAGAGAGGAGAGAGAGAGGGTGTGTGGATGATAGAAGTTGTTGACTGTTTTACGACGATGACTTAAGCTCTTGAATACGATGACTTATCTTCTTGAATACGATGACTTTGTCTTTAGAAAACACCAGCAAAATACCTTAAAACCACCAATGAAGCCTCTGAGATGTATGTAAACGCCATTAAAAAAACATTTGAAACCTCAGAGAATGAAAACAGAGACCTTGCGCTGTTTGTAGAAGGCCAAAGGCTTTAAAAATAGCATCAATTTATCTAGACATCTGGACCACACTGTACAGCTAGCTAACTACGGTGTGGGTCGAGTCTCAGGATTTACGTCGCCATCTCTACGTCCTGGATTAAGTGAGGAATTTGATGTTATTGGACTTAACCATTTGATTACGATGGCAACCAAAATGAGTACGATGACTTGACCTCTTGAGTACTTAACTCCGTGAGTACGATGACTTAAGCTCTTGGTATACGATGATTTAATCCCATTTGTACGATGACTTAAATCCTGAGTACAGAGACTTAACCTCCTTGAGTATTATAATTAAGAACCCGAGTACAATGTAATCTTATCAGTTAGGAGACGATAATTATACTGAGACTCATCCTTAACACTGAGACTCAACCTTAATTAGATATATTTACTAATACTGTGTTTTTTATCGTTACAGGTGAGTGTTGTGACGTAGTGGTGACGCCTGGCAGGAGTTGGAGTTGACGTAACGTAACAGGTCAGGTCAGGTCAGGTCAGGTTACAGATGTTAGTAATGTTATTTTTCTAAGATACAATTGTGGAAAATATATTTGATATTTTACTGTTCTTATGTTGAGGGAGAGGTGGGGGTGATGACTGTCTGACTGCGACGAAACTTATCCAGTCATCACGAACGACTGTCTTCTTGGAATGGTTGGTGACTGGCGCAACACACGCGCGCACACACACACACACACACACACACACACCCATACTGTACCACCCAGTGTTATGTTACATGTATATCTGTTTCGCCTCACCTCCCGTAGCGACCTCCAGCACTCTACGTACATACACACGCACACGTCAGCACACATACACTCGCACAGACTACCGTCCACACACAGACCTACATTCACTCAGTCGTATCTCTGAGCTAGTGTAGGTAGCTTGTGTGCCTCTCGTGGACGGTATGTGTGTGTGTTATGGTAGTGTTGTGTGTATGTGGTAGTGTATGTATGTATGTATACGGTATTTAAACTACTTATATTGGCGTATACTACAGTGTGTTAAGTAGGTTTGTGGATACAGTCCTCAAATCCGATGTAGAAATGCGTTATGACATCTGATTTTGCAAGTGTATCGGATTTATGGAAAGTGCAAAAAAAAAAGTATCGCGAGAAGTGAAGTTGTACCTCGTTGCAGTGCTATTTAAGTGACTAGTGTTTTATAAGTGTTTTGTGTCGTAGTGAATAGTAATGTCCGATATCTTCACTTTACAAACAAGTCTTCATTACAGTGCTACTTATAAATCTTCTACTTAACGCTCTGTTAAGTAAAATAACACGATTATAAGTTTAGCATCTACTTATAAAGGTAGACTGTGGCTGTGTAAGTGTTAAGTGCTCGTCGTAACTGGATACAGACCTTCGTAAACTGGAGGTGAGGAAAGTATTGGTATGTCCACTTATCCACTCACTCGTACAGTCACTCACTTTACTGGTTACTCACCCATACAGTCACTCCTACTTAACTGGTTACTCACCCATACAGTCATTCACTTAACTGGTTCACTGGACATCCACTCACTCTTAACTGGTATAAAGTAAGTGTTTAATCCCCTGAGTACGATGACTTAACCCTTGGAGGTACGATGACTTAATCCCTGAGTATGATGACTTAATCCTGAGTACGATGACTTAACTCTGAGTACGATGACTTAATCCCTGGAGTACGATGACTTAATCCCTGAGGACGATGACTTAATCCCTGAGTATGATGACTTAATCCCTGAGTATGATGACTTAATCCCTGAGTACGATGACAACAGTTGATTACAGTGGTGTTATATTCATAGGGTTATGGAATTACTTACAAAGGTAATTAATTAAAAGGTAATTATATAAAATGTAATTAATGGTTAATTATTTCAAGCTTAATTATCCCCAAAAGGTACTATACTATAAGTGTGATTTACCTTAAAAGGAATACTTAGATAGACGAATTAAGGGAATAAAAAGACCTAAAAAGATAAATCAGAATTGAAATGGATGGAAGGAGGGGAGATGGGTAGAGATAACGATAATTGAAAGGGACAAAAAACAGGGGTGATAAAGGTAGGAATAGGGAAAATAACCAATAATTAAGCTCATGGTATGAAATGAGGAACAAAATAGACGAAGATATGGAGTAGAATAAAGACGATAACGGAGGAGGAATAACACGTAGTGGGTGATAAATATGGGAGGGGAGAATAGCAATAATACAAATAAACTGTGGAAGGAACGTAGAAGGAACGATGTTGATGGATAGTGATAAATGAGGAGACAGACAGACAGAAGACATACAGACAGACACAGACAGACAGGCTGGCAGACAGACAGACTGATTTAGGTGGTCACTGTTATTGGGGTGACCCATATACTAAGGAGGGTGACCGTGTGGAGGGAGGGAGGAGGTAGGTGTGTGGAGGGAGGGTGGGTGGAGGGAGGGAGGGAGGGTGGGGTGTGTGGAGGGAGGGAGGGAGGTGTGTGGAGGGGGGAGGGTAGGGGTGTGGAGGGAGGGAGGGGGTTGGGGTGTGAAGGGAGGGAGGGAGGTAGGGGTGTGAAGGGAGGGAGGGAGGGAGAGTGGGGTGTGTGGAGCGAGGGAGGGTAGGGGTGTGGAGGGAGGAGGGAGGGTTGGGGTGTGAGGAGGAGGGAGGGTAGGGGTGTGAAGGGAGGGAGGGAGGGTAGGTGTGTGGAGGGAGGAGGAGGAGGGTAGGGTGTGTGGAAGGAGGAGGGAGGGGTGGGTGGGTGTGTGGAGGGGGAGGGAGGTAGGTGTGTGGAGGGGGGAGGGAGGGGGGTAGGGGTGAGGGAGGAGGGAGGGTAGGTGTGTGGGAGAGAGGGAGGGAGGTGGGTGTGTGGAGGGAGGGAGGGAGGGTAGGTGTGGGAGGAGGGAGGGAGGGTAGGTGTGTGGAGGAGGGAGGGGTGGGTGGTGTGTGGAGGGAGGGAGGGAGGGTAGGTGTTGGAGAGAGGGAGGGAGGGTGGGGTGTGGAGGGAGGGGGGGGTAGGTGTGTGGGGAGGGAGGGAGGGAGGGTGTGGGGGGAGGAGGAGGAGGTGTGTAGGGGGAGGAGGTAGGGTGTGTGAGAGAGGGAGGGAGGGTGGTGTGGAGGAGGGAGGGAGGGGTGGAGGGAGGGAGGAGGAGGGTGTGTAGTGCTGGGTAGGGTAACCAACGATAGGTGTGTGCACGGACAACTTGATGTGTTAATGACGTGACGACCACGTCCCTTGCATGCCATCTGTTTAGTCGCATTAATACAGTTATTCTTCCCTCCCCGCTCTCCTCCCTCATCTCCTGCTCTTCCTGCCTTCCTCCCCTTCCTCCCGTCGCTTCCTCCTACTCCCTCCCTCTCCCTTCCCTGTCATCTTCCCTCCCTCCCCTTCTATCTCCCTCCTCCTCCTCTACTTCCCTTCTACCTCCTCCCTCCCTCCTACCTCCCCTCCTCCCCACCTCCTCCCTCCCTCCTCTACCTCCTACCTCCCTCCTCTACCTCCTCCTCCTCCCTCCCTCCTCCTCTACCTCCTCCTCTCCTCCCTCCCTCCTCCTCCTCTACCTCCCTCCTCCTCCTCCACCTCCCTCCTCTACCTCCCTCCTCCTTACCTCTCCTTCTACCTCCTCCTCCTCCTCCTCCTCCTCCTCCTCCTCCTCCTCCCTCCCTTCTCTTCTCCTCCTCCTCTCCTCCCTCCCTCCTACCCCCTCCCTCCTCCTCCTCTCCCTCCTCTACCTCCTCCCTCCTCCCTCCTCTACCCCTCCTCCCTCCTCCCTCTACCTCCCTCTCTCTACCCCTCCCTCCCTCCCCTACCTCCCTCCTCCCTCCTCCACCCTCCTCCTCCCTCCTCTATCCTCCTCCTCCTACCCTCCCTCCTCCTCTACCTCCTCCTCCTCCTCCTCCCTACCCTCCTCCTCCCTCCCTCCTCCTCCTCCTCCCTCCTCTACCTCACCCCCTCCTCCTCCCTCCTCCTCTACCCTCCTCCCTCCTCCCTCCTCCTTCTCTACCTCCTCCTCTACCTCCCTCCTCCTCCTCCTCCCTCCCTCCCTCCTCCCTCCTCTACTCCTCCCTCCTCCTCCCTCCTACCTCCCTCCTCCTCCTCCTCCCTCTCTCCTCCCTCCTCCTCCTCCCTCCTCCTTCCTCCTCCTCCCTCCTCTACCTCCCTCCTCCTCCTCCACCTCCCTCCTCTACCTCCCTCCTCCTCTACCTCCCTCCCTCCTCTACTCCTCCTCCTCCTCCTCCTCCTCCTCCTCCTCCTCCTCCTCACTCCTCCTCTACCCTCCTCCTCCTCTACCTCCTCCTCTACCTCCCTCCCTACCCCTCCTCCTCCTCCCTCCTCTACCTCCCCCTCCTCCTCCTCCTCTACCCCCTCCTCCTCCTCCTCCTCTACCTCCCCTCCTCCCTACCTCCTCCTCCTCTCTCCTCCTCTACCCTCCCTCCCTCCTCCCTCCTCCCTCCCTCCTCTACCTCCCTCCTCCTCCTCCCTCCCTCCCTCCTCCTCCCCCTCCCTCCTCCTCCTTCTCTCCTCCTCCTCTACCTCCCTCCTCCCTCCTCCTCCTCCCTCCCTCCTCCTCCTCTCCCTCCTCTACCTCCCTCCTCCTCCTCCTCCTCTACCTCCCTCCCTCCTCCTCCCTCCCTCCTCCTCCTCCTCCCGCTAGTCAGTATTGTTTGTATTGTTGTGTGTGTGTGTGTGTGTGTGTGTGTGTGTGTGTGTGTGTGTGTGTGTGTGTGTGTGTGTGTGTGTGTGTGTGTGTGTGTGTGTGTGTGTGTGTGTGTTAGCAGCATTAAGATAGACCAAACAGTCGTTGTTGTCACCTTTACATAACAGATAACAAGTGATAAGCGCTCCATCACAAACACCATAACCTCGATGACGCCATTGACTGATGAACCTCCACCATTAATCAACGATGAAATCCATGGCCCTTCAGGCACTTACGCCCTACAATGAAGGAGTCGACGAGGCAAGCATGAACTCTGCAAGCTTCCCTGTTGGGCGCTGTAAATGATTTTTGCGTTACGCCTTGCACAGGATGCAAGGGAGTGCCCAATAAACTAGCTCCTTCGCAGGGCAAATTATAAATTATATCTACGCCACTAACCTGTTCCATTAACCTACAGAATAACATTCACCATTGAACTACGTCACTAACCTGTTCCATTAACGTAAACCACTAACCTGCTCCAATAAATTATGCCATAAACATGCTCCATTAACTTATGCCACTAATCCGCGTCATTACTCTTCGCTATTAACATGTGCCATCAAACCACGTCATTAACCTGCTCCATTAACTTACGTTTTTAACTTCAGGCCATATTCTCTCAATCCTGCCTGAGAGAGAGAGAGAGAGAGAGAGAGAGAGAGAGAGAGAGAGAGAACTGGCACTGACTGGTGGGTGAGGAAGGTTAGGACAGGGTGGAGGATGAGGAAGGTTTAGGACAGTGAGGATGAGGAGGAAGGTTAGGACAGGGTGGAGGATGAGGAAGGTTAGGACAGGGTGGAGGATGAGGGGGAAGGTTAGGACAGGATGGAGGATGTAGCTGTAGTTTGGGTCCATTTAGATTCACCGTTTCCATGATCATAATAGTGTAGCAGCTTCATGTTGTCTGGATGACCACGCAAGAGCCTCAGGGCAATCAGGAAGGTGACGCTAATTAGTCTGTCTTTAACACTGGGTAGTCCTCCTGCGACAGCCTAAGGAAAGACTAAGGGCTTTAGCTGTCCGTACATTGATGGGTTAGCTGTTGTATGGCAGGTGAGGTACAGGGGATAGTTAGCTGTTGTGTGGCAGGTGAGGTACAGGGGATAGTTAGCTGTTGTATGGCAGGTGAGGTACAGGGGATAGTTAGCTGTTGTATGGCAGGTGAGGTACAGGATAGTTAGCTGTTGTATGGCAGGTGAGGTACAGGATGGTTAGCTGTTGTGTGGCAGGTGAGGTACAGGGATAGTTAGCTGTTGTGTGGCAGGTGAGGTACAGGGATATACTGTTGTATGGCAGGTGAGGTACAGGATAGTTAGCTGTTAGGCAGGTGAGGTACAGGGATAGTTAGCTGTTGTATGGCAGGTGAGGTACAGGGATAGTTAGCTGTTGTGTGGCAGGTGAGGTACAGGGGATAGTTAGCTGTTGTATGGCAGGTGAGGTACAGGGGATAGTTACTGTTGTGTGCAGGTGAGGTAGGATAGTTAGCTGTTGTATGGCAGGTGAGGTGCAGGAGTAGCTATGGCAGGTGAGGTACAGGGATAGTTAGCTGTTGTATGGCAGGTGAGGTACAGGGGATGTAGCTGTTGTGTGGCAGGTGAGGTACAGGGGATAGTTAGCTGTTGTATGGCAGGTGAGGTACAGGGATAGTTAGCTGTTGTATGGCAGGTGAGGTACAGGGGATAGTTAGCTGTTGTATGGCAGGTGAGGTA